GGGGGGGGCTCGGAGACCCGTTCCGTACGCTCCAAGCCTTTTTGATTTCGCTATAATGCTTCTTGACTAACCGCATATAGGAAGTGGGTCCGCCGTGCCCCGGAGTGCTGAAAACACTAGAGTTGCCTTATCAAAAGTTACACCGTAGTTACTCGTACTTCACTGTCGACGTCGGCGATATTTGTAAGCATCTCGACACGTGCGTAAAAAAAATATCTATAAAAACTTTAATATTTTTTATTTTCAAAAAAGAAGGGGGGCGACGCAACAGTAAGGGGGTCCATATTCCACTAACCCTAACCTGCTAACCCTAACTAAACCGTCAGGGTGATTAGGACAGTGAGGTTATAGCGATAGTGAGGTTGTAGCGATAGTGAGGTTGTAGCGATAGTGAGGTTGTAGCGATAGTGAGGTTGTAGCAATAGTGAGGTTGTAGCGACAGTGCAGGTGAGGGTATAGATGTGCCGTGAGGTATGAACGCACTTTTCTTATTTACACCCAAAACACCGCTGAAAGGGAAACGCCGAGTCACCGAGGGCGGCGGCAGGGGATCAAAAAGCATTATAGCGAAATCAAAAAGCATTATAGCCTGAGCCTTAGAGTAGCTAGTACTCTACGGCGAAGGTCTTTTTTTATACGTGAAAGATCGTCGTTAGTCTCTTTTACCTAGGGACCCATAGAAAACTCATCTCTGAGTGGCTTGAAAAGTGATCTTCCCACTTCTGCTATCCCTTAGCAAGCATATGAGACATATCCACCCATTTTTCCTAAGGAAGATTTAAATACCACGGTAGAGATTGTGTTACGAAATCGTCTCGGGAAATAGGCCCTTGATCATATTAGTGATTCCTTGGGCTTCAAAAGTGGTATACAAACTCATAAGAATATGGCGCGCCCCTCCAATTCTCCTAGTCAATCAATCCAATATACAACCTAAACAACATATCCAGACACCCAACATCCCTCACTCGAACCCCACCAACCAAAATCAAAATATTAGACCATGAAGCCCTTCAGCATCTTCCTAGCCCTGGCTCTCGCTTCCAGCGCAATTGCACTTCCTCAGGCATTTCTCCCGGTCGTTTTCCAGTCTGATATATGCCAGGCGAAATGTGCGGAATTTTGCGGGAATTCTGTACGTATTATTCCTTCTGTTCTTGACGAGAAAGTATTGCATGGTAAAGGGTATGTAAATTCTTACAAACTCTATAATCATAGCTTCTTAGGTCGTCGAAGTGTGGATCAACGGATGGTAGTGGTAAAGAGACGGTTCAATGTACTTGTGATGATGGCAGGAGCTGGGGCCCGAAGCCGAAGATATAGGATGAATAGTGCTTTTGGAAAAGTTGGGACGCCGGGCTGGCTACGGCATGAGTAAATGACCAAGTATTCCGGGGGCGCTGGTATGGGAATGTTCAAAGGGGTTCTGTTGTCTATTGCGACTTTGGAATGGGAGATACCTGCGTGTTGATCTCTCAGTTCGCACTCTGGCATGAGGTGTCAAATATTATACCACTTCAATATAATGGGATTCATGTACATGACTATGAACATATCTAGAGGGACTACGTCGGTCCTCAAAGAAATCTTTCTCATTTCTATAAGTTTCCTTCCATACAAAGCTACTTTGAAAAGTACACTATACGCCACACTATACTTCGAGTGTCGGGGATTATACTAGGTAGCACATTTATAGAGCATGTAACAATTCCAATACTATAAGAGGAAATTGAAAATTCTATAGCTGAGCATCCACTTAAAGATACCATGGGACACCATAGAAGTTCCGCTAACGTAATAAAGAAGGCAGGCTACAGACTACAGTAAATTTAGTATTATCACATACTCCCCAAACCCACCCCCTCCCCCAGTGGAGCTCGGTCGTAACTGGTAAGAAGGTGGAGAAGAATCCCAAATAAGAAAATGGCCCGTTCCAACTGGCTAGATGACGGCCGTTACGTTATTTACTAGAAATTTACAGAGGAATGAAAAGTATACGACAGCACAAACCCTAAGTTTACTTCGTCCCTTGCATAATAATTATAGTTTTTACGCGGGTTTTACCCTGTACTCCACTCAAGTTACCCATGAAAAGTTACAGATTTTAAATTACCTAGGACGAAGTGTTACAGGAAACCTCCATACAAGGATCCTCGATAAGGATATCCTCGGTTATTTTTTTACGAAAGCCGCGCCTGAGCCTACAGTATCCATGTACTTCGTCCCAGGCATAATAATTGTAACTTCTACGGGGGGTTTTTACCCTGCTCTCCACTAAAGCCACCATAGCAAACCTACAATTACTGCGTAATAGGCCCGGGACGAAGCAAGCAGTGAACTTAAAAGTAACAATGTTAACTCCGTACATGTGATATTTCAGTAGAATCTGGGAGGAAGCGTACCTATAGTAGAAGTATTTGTTACGACACGTCGACATAACCCAGCTAAGCGAGCTACAGTAAGAAGGGAACACCCTTGTCCGAGAAATATAACGTCTCTTGGGAAAGCTTGGTACAGAGTGCCCGAAACAAGATGTTTTAGGACGACAGATTGATTACCTGGCCAATCCTAGAGGGGTTAAAGGTGTATATAAAGAAGACGCAAATGCCAACATCTTCTTTCTTTTGATTTCGAAAGAGAGTCATTCGTCTATTCAGTTTGTTACACACATCACACGCACCCGATACGTTCAGCCTTCCAGCCTTCCCGCCATCCAATCACTTAATATGAAGTCTATTAGTTGCCTCCTCGCACTAGCCCTCGTCTCTGTAGGTGTAATGGGTCAAAGCACTCCCCCAAAAGCCGAAACGAGTTCATGCCAGCAAGCATGCAACGCATTTTGTAGCCCAGATGTACGTATCATCTCACATTAGTCGCTGGTGACGAGAAATGGTTACTGATTATGTCGCTATAGTCGGCGGTCTCTGCGGATTGTAAAAACAAGCCAAAGCCTTTTTGTTACTGCCCTGATGGAAAGAAGGGGCAGGTACCTTGATGTGGTGAGCACGGCGAATACTAGTAGTGCTTTTGGGGGTGGTCATACGGGTGCTCCAGGCTCCTTAAAGAGGGCGTAATTTGTTTTTTTGGAGAAAGTCTTTAGGGGAGTTTGAGATGGGAGTTGGAATCCCTAGAACGCGACCTGTGTACCAGATGTGTTGTCCTGAAGTCACGTGTCGAATTCCAAGTTCTCATGTTGGGATGCTAAGGCCGAACTCTGACTCGCAGGGTTCATATCTCTAAAGTTTAACGTCGAAGTTGTTTCTATTACTGGAATTTATACGTAAAAGTCGAATTGAATTTTAATTACGCATGTAAAACAGTTGCATAGCTATACTTGGAGAATGCGGCTCTAATAATGTAAAGAGTTGTATGAATTGAAGTAGTAGAAACGAGATCGGCTTTAGGAAATACTTCAGACATATGAACCCGACGAGTACGAGCCAACGAGGTAGATTCAAAACAAAGGTGGGTCAAGTTTAATAGATCATGGGATGGCTACAGGTAGTCAGACAAATGTGGAACACACAGGCGAGGCAGGGTACTTTGTAATTCTTGAAGCAAATTCTGGAGTCTGGACGACGTAGATACAGTCAGTGACCACTTATACTCGGCGGCTTGCGAAACCCTACCAAAAACAGTATTTTTGCCTACTTTTCGACAATATACAACTCTATCCTAACTCGACAGTTTTTTCTGTAACTAAAGGCTTAGATTAATTCGAGCTTTATAAATCTTTTGTTTTAATACGCAAAGCCTAAAACTAGTATTGGTGTTATAGTGTTAGTCTAAGTCGGGTAGTGTGATTTTTAGGTGGATTTTCGTCTATTTTTGGTGTAGAACGTACACTTTTCTATTTTACCCAACTTTGCTACCTAACCACTTTATACATTTAACTTTGTATCACAATCTGAGTTGATGCAATTCTGCGTAATGCTCGAATTACTTATTCTTGTAAGCATTAGCAATTTTAATAATGGTGGTGATAGAATTATTTTATGTTGCTTTCTATGAGTTTTGGTGTAAAAGTGGCACATGCCGAGTATAAGTTGGCTAGTACTGTGCATGTAGATTAGTGGTTAACTGTAAACACCCTGCTACATATAGTCTACTGCCTTCAGGAACACTAAAACTTGTGAATTATTTCTAAAAAGCGCATTCCATCAGGACAGGAGTACATGATAGCGCGTACAAATTTGTCTTGTTTACATACAGAACATACACGTATATATACGGCTCAGGGTATCTACTTATACCTTGGAGGCTATAACCGAGTCTTCACCTACCTATACGAGGGATGTAAGAGTGCCCTAGATTCTTATACTAAGAGAAGAAAGCGTATATAATTACGAAGTTATAAATAATTAAATAGATATAAATCTTTTATTATTCTTTTCTCTCGTTGCCAGATTTTGTTACGCTATAATCACGGGTCGAATTTTAATAGGTATGAGGTATCGAAAAAAGTTTCGGCAACAACCTAAAGACGAAAAATAACAACCCTCTTGGGGTATAACATCTATTAGTCAGAATAACTAGAATAATAAGATTTATACTTAAGTTCTTATATTCGCCAAGGGTCCGAAAAGCTTGGGCAGCCGAAAGATAGCAAAAATAAACAAAAATACAGGTATGACACCGACCAGATCAAGCTATAATAAATTAGTATACCATGGCTACAGTAAGGCGCTTGTAGAATATCCACACTCGAACTTGCGCCTCCGCGTCCTCTGAAAAGACAGTCATTAGGACCGCCAAAAAGACTGTCGAAAGAGACTGTCTGGAGGACTGCAAAAGGGACTGTTAGCAACAAACCACCAACTCTAATTGGATAAAGGGTTGGATCGATGTCTAAATTGGGTTTCCTACATAGACATGGGTCTAAATAAATCACAGGAAAGGGTAAATATGCGAGATAGCATCTCTGCATGTCACAGGCGAATAGCCGGGGGCTCTAGTTGGTTGGCTCAGAGTAATGGTAATGACAGGCAAGATTAGAGATGATAACCCGGTCGATTATTCCTACCCAATAACTTTCTCTGCATTTCCCACAATCCCAGTCAACCTCCCAAGGAATTTTATACTTAAAACAATCTAGATCACAGTTCGTTAAAAGAAACTAGTTAGGGTATCTCTACAAGCCTTTAATCCCCGCAATATATGCTAGCTTTCGCGGCATTTAGTCCTTGGAGTAGAACAGTAGTATACGAAGGGAAAATAGTACGCTATACAAATTAATTACTAGATGTAACAGTATCTGGCTCTCGGATAGTTGACTTTGACTTTATATATCTCAGTGTTCCCAGATAAAAGTGTTTTTCAAGGACTTGTTCAATCGTTAAGAATCATAATACCGTTCGACTTTCAATTTTAAGATGACTCTTCTTAAAACCCCTCATTTAGTCTCGTTATACAAAGATGCCCATACCTACCCTAATCGCGAGAACCCATCAATTGAGTTTTGGATAACAGTACTCTATTACTTTTTTCCCGCTCCTGTTTGGAATCATGCTCGAGAATTCCCTCCAGATTTGAACAACCCGCGAGATCATCGAAAAATGGATATCGTCTCTAGAAAATTTGTCACCAAGCAATCCAGATATTTCTACAGCGGCATACTTGAGGGTAAAAAGCCAAACTATGATCAGGATGATGTTGATACAGTGGAGCAGCAGCTACACGAATATTCATCTGCCTACATTGATTCATGCGATGAAACAAGTCTTTGGGGATTTACAACACTCGGCACCAAGATACGATTTTGGTTCTACAAGAGAGCTAGCAACGGTTTGGTTGCATATCTTCCACAAACTACAGCTTCATACACCGATGCACCATACATCGACGCCAATGCACGAGAAACGGAGGATTTGGAAGCAGCTTTCGAGTATATTAGAAACAACCCCTGGCCAACTAAAAATACGAGAGGTGTATCACCGGATATCCCCGCTCAACCTCCCAGCACGATTCCTTTTTCTGGGACGACTGTATCGCCTCTTAGATTAACTTCCCATCCGCACATTCATACAGTCCCGCCGGCCACGACTGCCCAAGCTTCTGCCCAAACATCGGCTTCAACTTCCCAACCGTCTTCTTCTCCATATACTTACAAAATTCCGCCGGCCACGACTGCCCAAGCACCGCCTCCTTCTGCAAACGTTTATGCAAACACCTCTGCCCAAACATCGGCTTCAACTTCCCAACCGTCTCCTTCTCCATATACTTACACAATTCCGCCGGCCACGACTGCCCAAGCACCACCTCCTTCTGCAAACGTTTCTGCAAACAATTCTGCCCAAACATCGACTTCAACTTCCAAACTGTCTCCTTCTCCATACACCCACAAAGATCCACCGGCCACGACTGCTCGAGCATCGTCTCCTCCTGTCATGCTGGACGAAAGCGCAGTAAACAAGTACTGGGTGTCATCTATTGATATTTCATGGAGGGTACTGAAACAAGATCTAGAGATATATCTTCCTGTTTCTTTCCTAGAGCAACGAAAAAATGATGACGGTGACAATGGGTATTATTTTGAGTCTAAAAAATTAATTCAGGGAAAGGAGAGAACTTCAATGTTTGCTGATCTGAAGGCAGATAGTGCAGCTTGGAAAAAGGAAGGAACAAGACATTATAGTGAATCGAAAACTCATAAATGGAGGAAGAAGCATGGAGCAACTTACTATAGGAAAGAGTAAGGCTAAAGATGGAGTGCGAGGATATAAGGGCTCTTTTTTACCTTGAATTTGCTTGCTTTGTTTGTTTCGTTTTGTTTTGTTCCTATAGTGTTACAATCTATGAATATTATTTTGATTTACATTCACTTATTCCAACCCTTAAATAGGGCTTCCACGATAACGCCGTGCAGTGCGAATGTCTAACTAAAGTTGTGACATTGAGCTGGATCTAGGTTATGATATTAAATTATCTACTGTATTTGTGCTTCCACATGGCTAATATCGCAAAAGGTATAGGTGTCTTTATGCCACCAAGAGAGCCATGTGAGTTTGAATTCATCATTCATCTCTGTACTTTCCCAGCCAGACTTTGCAAGATCTTGGTACTCTTGTAGGGTTGTAGACAAACAGACCCTCGCCCTGCGAATTTCTTTTCGTGATCTAAAAACGATATCTGACAGGTGATGAAAGCCAAATGGATTGTTAACCTTGTGTCTAGATGCATCCAGTCTGCATTGGCCCAAAGGTTGCTGAAGGCCATTTGAATAATTGATCATTATCCCTACGCAATAGCTGCTTCCTTTGCTTTCCATATAATAACCTGTGGCGCATTGTACCCCGTTTAAGAGTGCGCTACAACAATATAACCCCTCCATTTCCGAAGGAGGGCTAGGTGTGTGATAAGTTTGAGGTGATTCGCAGGGCTCTAGAGATATCTCTGTTGCAATCCCAAAGGCTGGAAGTTCTCCTCCTAGTGGGGCATTCTCAAAGACAATATGAGAGGGTGTGCTGCCAAGGTATTGGAACCTACAGCCTGAAGTCTCATATGGACCAAAGGTGTATATCTGGTCTCGAGTTGTCCTCACCTATACAATTGTTAAAGGCATTCTAGGAAAGGAGGCATATAAACTACCACGAGAGCCGGAGTGGAAAAGATAGGTATGGAATCATGTCGTAGCCAAACATCCCTAATTTGCTGCTGGGCAAGTGGACAAAAAAGCCAGATAAGAGTGTTTCGTCGTCTTAACGGAATTTGATTGAAAATATCAAGAACGGAAGATAGATCATCAGTGTAATGAGGATAAATGCCATAGGTAGAACGGTCGCAGCAGAAGACAGAGAGGCCACGAAGAGAGGTATCTAACTTGATGGTTCCAAGTCGCAGCGGAGATGTTTCCTTGTCCTTGAATTGACAGGAATGCAAAGATGGAGGGGCTGGAGTATCCCAGAGTCGAAGAGGCTCGTCCATATTCTGGATACGGATATAATCTCCCTATTACATAATAAGTCTCGTAAATAATAAACAATGAATTGACATACCTTCTTTTCTAACATTAGCCTATTATGAAAGTTGGAAATCTTCTCGACAACATAGACTTCATGGCGTTTGGCTTGATGAGATATCGCAGACGGCCAAGAATCCAACACTTCTAGAGATCGTATACCAAGATTATCAATAGCGATAGTAAGTGTGTCTTCTGTCTGGATGGCTGACCTGCGCACAAAATCTGCCGACTCCTCTAATTGATTTCGTTTCCAATACGTTATATCAGTTATCGGGAGTGTGACTTGATCACCAGTTAGGCCGCTCAGCCGCTCCCCCCATTTTCGGGCCGCAAAGATTCTCCACAAGAGCAAGCCATAGGCCATTTTCATGATTTCTTGCATGATTTCTCGGGGGAACTTACGCAACATCCGCAAGAGATCGCCCTCACACTTGATTTCATCCGCAGTCGGTTCATATGGAATAGGCTGGGTAGCCTCAAAGTCGTCTAATGATGGTGCTGTTTTCCAAGGTCTGGCCCATAAGCTAAATATCCAGACATATCGCAGGTGTCCGCTAGTGCAGGTATCAGGATGCTTTGAAGCATCAAAGCAATCCAAGTGAAATGTTGAACCGTTGGAGCATTGAAAAGGATTATAACATAATCTCCTTTCCTTCCGCTGTTGGCCATCGTACACTGTACACTTCTGGGGCTTTGTGGCAGCAGGGAATTCAAATGTCCCAGTCCATTCATAGCGGCCATCATCAGTGTTAGTAACTAGGGTATGTTCAGTTTTATTCTGTTGAAGGGAGTCGAAAAATTGGTACCTAATGCAACTTGTTCTTGTTCATTAAAGGGCACAGTACATATTACCT